GTCTCAAACAGTGGCTGAAGTGTATTTATTGTCTCTGACCTGAAGACTCTGGTTTCGTTGTTTATTAGTGTTTTAAGATAGCTCTAATAGATGTACTCTGTGCTAAACAAAATGTTCCTTTATTCTTCCAAATAATTTCCCTAGAATAAAGGGTTGTTAACTCTGATAATCTCTGTAAAGTGCCTTCAAATGACGTGTTTTGAATTGGCATGGTATAAATAAACTGAATAAAGTTTAAAGTAACACAGCAACATACAGTAAGCTTGTGTGTCTGAAACACAATCCTCCTGTTCCTGCTCTGGTAAAGTTTAAACCATCTGCTGCTTTGGGATGTCTGTATCAACTGATCTTCTTAATAGTTGAAGCGGCTTGAAAATGCATATATTTTTCCCATTAATTTTACAGTGTTTCAGCACCTAAAGCCTCTGTGGGGGAAACCAAAGCTGACAGAAAAGTTGGATTGTCACTTCTTTAACTGTTATGTGCAATGATAGGCAGTTTAAAAAGAAATCTGGATGCTGTGGATTTCTCTCGGTTTCTCATCAGTTTTGCAGCAATTCTACAATATGAAGAAAAAACTACAATAAATTATACTTTGAGTTCATTTTCTAAACTGCCATACTCCTTGAAAAATTTTCCAAACCCAAACTTCAATGTATCTTTGATTTTTTTTATTTTTTATAATACAATGAAATCCAAACAATCCAACCATTCCCTGCACACTGGTGCCTCAGTCAAATTGGCCCCTACTAATACAAGTTTGCATCTGAGTTTTTAACCTCAGTCTAAGAAAAGGTTCCCCATAACATGATGCTGCCACCGCCATGAGTCAATACGGTGTTGATGTGATGTAGAGATTAGTTTATCATCTTTTCCTCCTAAAACCCTTCAATAAATGACAGCGTTGTGAAGTGCAGATGCTCCTCTCTGAGCTTTGGAGGATTTTTAGCTCCTAATGGCTTTCATTGTTGCTTTAGCTGTTGGTTTTGGTATATAGCAGAGGTATTTTCAGGTAAGCCGGCTGTAGGAAAATGCAGCTCACTAAGCTCTACTCATTTTTGCTATTTTTTTTTATTCCGTGTGTTTGTGATTCTGGGTCAGTCCTGACAGCCTTCTTCCATCTGCATCAATTTTACACTGATCTTCTATTCTTTTTTACTTATTTACCAATAGCACTCTGTTCATAATCTACCCTTCTCTGTTGTTCCCTTATAGATGTTGAACTTGAAGTTATTTTAACTGAGAACTAAAAGGATATGCAGATAAAATTGGAGTATAAACAAATGAACCAGATTTGCCAAGTGTGGGGCTAACGTATGAATGTTTTGTTAATCTGCACGTCCCCAAAGGGAACTAGACCAAAATGGACATGACAGAGACTCTCAGAAAAGAGAGAGCGAGAGAGATAAGATATAAGACATGTAGAGCAGCTCAACAAATATACAGTCATACAGGAAATGACCTCCTAGAAAAAAGGGGCTTCCCCTTGGGTTTGTATTTCTATTTCTCACAGACACTCACAGCTATATAACGTCTGATGATGTCTAGCAAAAGATATGCATGGGAATACTGCTGTTATTGAAATGTTTTCAACATGTGCTGGGAGTGCAAAGAGCAGCAACATTCCCCCAAACAGATCAACTTGGAAAACCATTGCGTCATTTGTATCTAAGGGTTGGCTGCAGAGGCATGTGGAAGTGTGCTGTTGCATATGTTTGAACATTTTTGTTTGTAAGCTTCATAAGTCCTTCGAATTCATTGTGTTTTTTTTTGTGTCCTAAACATTAAGGTGCAAACAAAGAAACTGAAGGATCTATTTTTTTAAGTGGGTGTAATGATGACAAAGGAAAAGATTTGTCAAGAAAATAGCATCAATAAATAATTAAAACACATTCTTAAATAAAAATAAATTGCATTGATGTAACAGCAATTACAACAATTTATAGTAAATAGCTTAATTAATCCAAATTTTGTATAACTATAACAATAATATCATGACATTAATTAAAAACCTTAATATATATATATATTCACACAGATTTGTTTGTATAAAGTCATGTTTTATTAGGGTACTAGAAGAAGGCTTAGATTTGTTATTGCAGCCATATATTTGACCAATGGGAGCCTCCATATTGACGAAAGGCTAGTAGTTTTCCAGATTTAAGAGGATGTATATCAATTTACGAAGAAAAAATATAGCAGTACCAAAGAACACCAAACATAATTTCAGCGCCAAACTCTGGAACAGATGGCAAGGTGTTTCCAATAACGCAGTCACAACAATAATTGGTAAAACAGTTGAAAACATTTTTTCATGGTGTTCTTTTGAACCACATAATTAACATGATCTTGGCACTGATGGCTGGATTATTGATTAATTACTTCCCCCTGCTTAGGTCCGCCCAGTTTTCATTTTCTCTCATCTGATCCACCTGTTCCCGTTCCTATTTAAGCTGCTGGTTTCCAGTCATCAGTGCCAAATTATCCGAACCATGTGTGAGAGTTCTCTACTGTACCCAGTGTGTTTCAGATTACCTGACCCTGATTAGTTCCTGCCCCTGGACTCCTGAGTGTTGCCTGACGTTGTCTTTAATGTTAACGACCTTGGATCTGTTGGAACATCTTTGGTTCTCTGATCCTTTGGCCTGCATATTCTGGCCTGGACATCTGCTCCTGCATCGATACCTCTGGATTCTCGCTCCAGATTCTTCTGCTCTTCCTCATCTGCTGGCTTCTCAGTCTGCTCTGCTTCACTCCTGGAACTCTCCTGGCGGCTCCCGCTGCATGCTGTGGAGAAATCATCCGCCTGGATTCCACTCCTTCCCAGAGGAAAAACAGAACTTAAAACCAGGTTAGTGACTCACATGCTCGCTATCATTCCCTGTCAGAATTTCGTGGTCACTAACCTAACTTTCTACTTCCACAAAAATCCAGTCATCTGGTCCCAACTGATGAGCCGCAGATTTCAGAGCAATCAATAAAGCTTTTTTGGTTTAAAATCACTTCTGTTCTGTCTGCCTGAATTCTGGATCCTACTTTCTGTGCCTTGACAGTAATCCTCATTTAAAAGAGGAGCCGGCCTGTCCAGAACTCCGGAGCAGCAGCTTTTCAGCGAGAAGGTCTATGGTTAAAATCTGGGCTGGGACTTTTCTCCCTGGAGTTTGCAATTGATATTCTGGCTTCTTCCCCACACCACATAACATGATGTTAGTTCATTTGGTCTCTGTGTAAATTCCTGTAATAAACTGGATCATAACCTCTCATTTGTGCATTGGAGACCCCTTAAAGTTGGCACAACAATGGCTGGATTGATGGAGCTATGCTGTTATCTGCAAACATGAGGACAGGCAGCAGCGTAACATAGAATAACTCCTGGTGAGACTTAGTACATTTATCTCAGTAATTCCCAGAGAGTGATATTTTACCTTCATAATTCAAATAATAAAGCTACTAAATACTGAAACATACTTTAAGAATGACAGTTTTTATCATTCAATACATTGACAGAATTTGCTGTTACTTTGCTGGTAGATTTGCAGTGACACTGTAGCCGTTATCCCCCCAAAAGTAAGATCGCCAGTTATCACGTTTATTTGGACTAATAAAGAAAATAAATGTTTGTATTAAAACTCGGTTGCTGCAGACTGTCTATTTGCTACTTTATTTCACACTTAACTATTTCTACAAAATTAATTTAATGTTACTGCAAAGAACCAGTAGTGATGTAACTTAATATCATGCTACATATGCATACATTCGATCTGCACTGCAGAAGATTGAGTCATTTCAGTCTGCTAAATGCAGTTTATGAATTATGTTAAACTCTTGGAGCACTTTGGAGGTTGGACTTGATATTAAACATCATATGCTTTACATCAAATGGTCACTTTCTTCTACAACTAAATATATAATTCTATATTCAAATATTCACTGGACTTGAATGGTTTTGGGGGTTTGTTTGGTCTTGATTTAGTTTAGCATCTGCAACTGATATATCATCAGTCGTTTTGACACTAGTTGTTTTTTGGCATCTCCATGGAAAATCTGAATCATTGCGGTCAGTCCACAGAGACCAGACCTAAACCTAAAACCTTTCAACAACCATATCCCTGGTCTGTGTGCATCCATGGTCTTAATATCATCCATCCATTTTCTGTCACGCTTTATCCCTGCTTGGGGTCACCAGAGGTGCTGGTCCCTATCTCCAGCTGTCTACAGGGTAGAGGTGGGGTACACCCTGGACATATCAGCAGTTTGGTGACTTCTGAGCATCATTGATGAAAGTGGATTGTATTCATATGTATGCATGCCACCCTTTCAGAATTTGGTTTCCAAGTCACTCATGCTCTCAGAGTGGAGACACATCATTGCATAGCAGTATCTGAATGTCTGTGAAATTATGGACCAAGCATTCATCAACCCCCCTCAGACTGTATTTAGATTCTGCATCACTCTATAATTCACATTCAGCAAGTCTTTCCAGCAGTCTTACACACCCTTTTTAATTCTTCATCACAAATGCAAACCATCTGTGCTCCCTATGGTCCCCTGCAGCACACAGACGCCTTAATGAGAGAATGCAAATCACATTACAGACTGGTAGATGATAATTTTCCTTCTGTACACAGAGCCTGCAGACTAAATGAGTGGACCCTTATTGAGGGCTTTGTATGCTCTGTTCCTGCTGAGCTCAGTGGTGATAAAAAAAAAAAAAAAAACACCTCAGGCTCAACTTAGCTGATTATTTTGTCTAAAGTGAAGTGTTTTACAAAGAGGGGCCAGTTAGTTGTTTTGTGGGCAGGGGGTTCTCCTGGGGTTCCGTGGGAAGGAAATCTCCCAGCATCCATGCACTAATCTGATCCAGTCCGCGGGGGCGCGCAAAAAAACTCGGTCAAAGAGTCTTCAGCTCTGCTGAATCTCGTGCGTAAAGGAGAAGCGCGCACATCTGGCGGGGTCGCAGAGTTGCGCTGGGAGGGACTTCTTGCTGTGTGTGTGTTTGTGCATGTAAGTGTGTTCTGTAATTCGCAGCAGATGACCACTTGGGGGGATGGAGGATGCATTCAGAAGGTGAGCGGCACCAGAGAGCTTTAGATGAATTGAGCTGCTGTCCTGATCCAGATGAAGCAACGCGTCTGAGGTGCTGATCACTTTTTGGATCGCGCTGGGAGTTATGGAGGGGTCGCTCTGCAGCGTGACAGAGAAGAGGGGCGCCTACACCTGAGCAACGAACATGGAAAAGGGGAGCAGTGGTTCCCTGGTGGTGATATGCCTTTTCCTGCTGTCGTTCACTGGCTTTTCATCTTCCTCTCCGGTGTTGGACTTTTGTCCTGAAGGCTGCGACTGCGCGCATTCAAGGCACCTTGCGTGCGCGAATCGCGGCTTACGCACGGTGCCCAAAACAGCCGCGGAACCATCAGATGATGCGCTGATCTTCAGCCTCGGGGGTAACTTTATCACCAACATCTCTGCTTCAGATTTCTCGCGGTACTCTAGGCTTGTGAGGTTGAATTTACAGTATAATCAAATAGCAATCATTCACCCAAAGGCATTCGAGAAACTATCCAGGCTGGAGGAGCTTTACTTGGGACATAATCTTTTAACAGCTTTACCTGCTGGAAGCTTACAGCACCTAAAAAAACTATCCACTTTCTATGGCAACAACAACCACATTAAGAAAATCACCCCAGATAACTTTCTGAACTTGGATAAGCTGGTCAAACTGCGCCTGGATGGTAACTCTTTAGAGGTTTTGCCAGATTCTGTTTTCAAAGGTTTGACCAGCCTCCAGTATCTTCACCTGGAACATAACAAAGTTCAACACATCCACAGAAACGCTTTCTCCAAACTGACCAACCTGCGCTTTCTAAACCTGGCCCACAACAAGCAGTCAGCCCTAACAAGCGTTCTGACCTTCTCCCCCCTCAGAGCCCTGACCACTCTGCTGCTCTCTGAAAATGAAATCCAGCATGCTGGAAATCACATCTTCCAAAACCTGAAAAAGCTGGCCAAGCTTTCCCTCAGCAACAACAGGATTTCACATATGGATAGAGATGCTCTGAAAGGGCTGTCAAGCCTCAGGGAGTTTCTGATTGATGGCAATGAGCTGGAGGAAATCAATGCTGGATGGCTTGATCCTTTGAAGAGGGTGGAAGTCCTGGACTTGAGTCACAACCGGATTTCCAGCGTGGATTCTTTGGCCTTTTCGAAATTAAAATACTTAAAAGTGCTAAGGTTAAAAAACAACTTTCTCACCAGTCTGTCAGGTGAGATTTTTGCCTTCAACAATGTCCTCCAGGACATCGATCTCCATGGCAACAACTGGACCTGCGACTGTCGCCTTGAAGATTTGAAGAAATGGATGACTTCTGCTCATTCCCAGAGCAGGCTGTTGACTGTATTTGTGCAATGCCATTATCCTGAAATCCTGAGGGGGGTATATCTGGACTATGTGAACAGCTCCCAGCTGCAGCCCGGCTGGAACCATTCCTGCAAGAGTGGAGCTGGGCCTGCAGAGAGTCAGGGAGGAGGCCCACAAAAGAAGTTTGATAGAAAAGGAGAAAAGTTGGATGGTGAGAGGAGAGGTAAAGAGGATCAAATGGAGCTGGGAGAAAGAAATAAAACAGAGCTGGAGGAAAGAGAAGTTTCGAGAAATTTTAAGAGGGGTGGTATAATGATGAGGGAGGAAAGGGAGGGAAAGAAAAAAAGTGGCCAGAAAGAGGCAGAAATCCAAGGAGACCAAGGGAGCCTGGAGGCAGAAGAACCTTCTATCCTGAAAGAAAAAAAAACAAAGAAAGAGTCCCGATCTGCTGCAGAGGCTGGTAAACGTCCCAGAGACAGGCACAGGTCAAATGTTATCCCTAGAATGGATTCATTAGTAACCTCCAAACCGAGTCATCCAGCAAACACCAATACCAGCTCTGTGGTCCAGTCAGGAGAAAAGTTTGATCTCCTAAGGTCGGATTCAGAGCGAGCTCTGCCTGTTATATCGGATCCTTGTTTCTTCAACCGACATTTCATCACCAATGTTTCAGTGGATCAGGTGACGTCCAGCACTGTTACCGTCTCCTGGATGAGCAGGAATCATCATCGCTACACACCAGGGCCGAAACCAGGCCTACATGAAGTACATTATCGGATTCTGTTTGACAGGTTTGGCGTTCCAGAACGTTTCCCTCGCTACGTCTACGCCAAATCTGATTCTCGCTCTGTAACTCTGCGGGAACTCACCTCAGGTGTGACCTATGTGGTCTGCGTGGAAGGAGTGGTCGGTGGGTCAGTGTGCCAGGTGGCACCCCGTGACCACTGTGTAGGGGTGGTCACCCTTCCTGAGGAGAACAGCCAGCATGGCAGTGCTTCACTAACCTCTGACCTCCAGCTGGTTACTGTGGTGACACTGGTGGGGAATGCTATCCTGCTCCTGGCCATCAGTGGGTTGTGGCTTGGGCGGAGGCTCAGGAGGAGGCTGCGGAGGAGGAAGTCAGCCGTTCACGTGCGCCACATGTACTCCACCAGGAGGCCGTTCCGTCCCACAGCAGCAGCAGCTTCTGCCTCCACAGACTTCACCAGCTTCCAGAGCAGCCGAGCGGCTCGGCTTTCTCCTCTGGAGGAAGGAGACCTGATTGAGTTCCCTTGCGACCGATTTTTAGACAACTGTGGTGTTCGCAGAGACAGTGATATGCAGAGATTCTCTGACTAAGAAAAAAGTAACTAAAGATATGTGAATCTGACTAAGTTGAATATTTTGAAATCCTAAAATACCAGTTTACGACTGTAGGTTAGGTTTTGGATGAAAAAAAAGCTCACAACATATTTCACCTGTAGAACAGCTGAGCTCATGATGATCATTCCAGACTCCAGAGGGAGTCCAAGTTCCTCAGACTTCCCTTTTCCTTAACAAGGCCCTTCCCCCTTTCATTTGAAACCTGTGAATGTCTCTGAATATGTGATATTGTTATGCGAGTGGATGTGTGCACACATTGAATGTTGTACCACTGATTTCAGTAATGGTGCTAATAACCAATTCAAAGACATCATATTGTCTCATTTTTGTACAGAATGTCACGAAGGCTGCTGGTTGGCAGAAATGTATGTACTGGTTGTATTATTATTACTTTTTTATACCTTTTTTAAAGGCAATCATGTCATTTTATATTACTCCCAAACATAAAATCACAATGAAATCATCTCTCAATTGTGCATAAACTGCTTTCTGGTAGTAAATGTCCCCAACAATGTGACTTAATTGTCATTGAAGTGTTTGTGGAAGATTTAGTTAAGTAAGGTATGCATTGTGTCTGTTAGTGTTATATGTATTGTTTTATTTGGTGTATTTCTCTCATTTTACACTCAATGTCATCATTATACATCAAAGCATATTAGATACATTTTAAGGTTTTCACAGATGAAGCGTAAAACAATAAACCTGCAGCTTTAAAGGAAATATGAACTGTCTCTGAGACTCGTATTGCTAAATGTGCTAAATGTAAGGTCTGGCAATGTTTAGTCTGTGTTTGAGTCAGTAGGGTGTAGTATCTCCAGCATTTTATGCCAGAGAAAAACAAAAAAAAGTGCAAATCCAAGGATATGTGCAAAGAATATTTTTTAATAGCACCTGAACATTATGAAGTCAATTATTAAGGCTTGTCATAACTAATTCCAATTTTGCTCACTCTTAACTACTGTTTTAAACATGTATATTTATATAGTTTAATATGAGTTATGTTAAAAAATAAACTAAAAAAAAAAATAACATTTTAAAAGTCTGTGTGGTGATATATAAAGAAATATTTATGAGGGCATGTAGGAAAAACCTAATAAAGCTTTGATCTGTGTTTAAACGCGATTTTACACCAGAATGGTCACTAGGGGGCAGTATAGACCACAAAGTTTATTTAGGCCTTAGACATTCTGTTTAATTCCCCTCCAAAACAAGCAACCATTAGGAAAAATTCCTCTTTTTTCATTAATGAAAAAGAACATAAGACTATGAAGATGACAGAATAATATTTTTTTATTTTAGTATGAGATTTACAGCCATACTCCATGTCTTTACAGTACAAAATGTTAAATTGAAACACAAATGATCTGAGTAGGATTTAAACATGAAGTGCAGTCTGTAGATATTTAGTGACAATTTCATCATATAAAAAGTGCCTTTCGTGAAACCCTGTTTTCGATCTTTCTTTCCTTTTATATGGCTCTGTAACACAGATTTCAGGTTGACCGATTTTATTTACAAGAATATAACATTTGCAATGTTAAAAAATACAATTTTGTAATGAAATTAATTACTTATTAAAAAAAATACTGTTGTGTTATTTACTCCGTGATTCTTTTTTGCTTTGCTTACAAAAAAAAGGCATAAGGTGTGTCACAGCAGCTGCCAAGTTAGTCACATACAGAGCCTTACAGAGGTAATTGCACTCTTTTAATTTTAACCAATTGTTTTACAATTCATTTCACTTTCATGGGATTTTACATGTTGGACTCACACAAAGCAGTTTATGTGAAGAGGAAGAAAAGAGATGCCTGTATTTTGAACATTTAGGGGGAAGAATCTCAACAGTTCACTGTGCATTTCGCCATACATTTCATATAGAATATTTTTATATTCAACAAACTTATGGCTGCAAGTCCTTTGGGGTAGGTTTCAAGTAGTTCCCTTTTTCTCTCCTGCATGTAGCTCTAACTATATTCACATCAACTCTGTCTAGCTTTTTTGCACCTGCTAAAGAAGAGAATCACAAAGCATAATGTTTGCACCACTGTATTTTCCATTGGGAAAAGAAACATTACTGAGATGAAACTGCATCCAGGTAGACTCTGTCTACTGATCCCATTATATTTTAAAGCAACTGGTTGAACTGGATTTATGTATTTAGTGGTGTTCAGAATAAAGAGTGGCAGATGTAAATGCATGGCATCAATTCTACTATTTTTGTGAATCTTTTCTTCCTCCAACACATTAATCCACTTCTTTATGTTGGTTTCTATTTAGATGAAGTGAAATACTTCAGCAGGCAATGTACCATTTAGAAGTTTTGTTAAAGTTAGTGCAAAATGAGCTGAGATTGTCTGTGTTTGGGTAGCCCGTACGTCAGAGGTGCAGGTGTGTTAATGTTAACAGCTTTAGATATTTTTTGCATCCGGGCAAGGTTCGAAGCTGACATCCAAGTTTTCAAACAAGGCTCGTTTTTGCATCTTAAAAGAAAAAAAAAAAAATGTCCGCTGATGACTCCTGTCAAACAGCTCTGGATACATGTGGATTTTCAGAGTCCGGTAAGGGGGCCGTGCCCGATGTCGGATCCGGCAGTTGAGGAGGTGGAAACACTGTTGTGCTGGACGGCGTGCAGATGAGTCTCAGGATCTGCAGGGGTGGGACTTCCTCCTGGACTCACCCCTGCAGCTGGACACAGAGACATCTGTCAAAGTCACCTATAAATGTTCAGGGCTTCCACTCATGGAATGAGCTTTGTTTTTCATATATATGAGATAAATAAAAACCAACTTCAGCTCAGTTAATATGAAAACATCTTTTTTTTTTATTGTAAGCAAATACTGTACATACAGGTAAAAAATACATCAATAAAAATATAGGAATATATCCCAGGCTTTTATTGCATAAAAGCCTTTTGTAAAATTTTGTTATGACAGTCAGTTAGTGTATGTTGGACATACACTTTAGCCTGTCTGGAGTGCAACATGCAAGGTTTTTTGAAATATAATGACGAAGGATATTCCAAGGTGTTTGATCAACTCTCCTGAGTAACAAAAGTGCATCAAAAATACTTGGAGAAAGTAGGGGTTAAAAGCTGATTTTACTCCAAAGTGCTGCATGAAACAGTTTAAGGTCTCTGACTGAACACAACAGTGCTTTTTCATAGCAAAACAACATGCCACCATTTAGTTTTTTTCCCTTTTTGCTTTAAAGGAATACTTTGCTTGAACAATAGCTTCAGTGGTCAGTGGCGATGATTTGGGGAAGCTGTTGGGCTGTCTAGATAGAGGTGCAGGGTGAGGGGTTTTACTCACTGGGGTACCCCTGTGCCTCTCTCTGCCGAGCAGTGACGGGACAGTCCTTGTGGGTGAGCAGGATCTGCTTCAACTGGCCGACCTCCGACCTCAGTGATGTCACCTCGTTCTGGGGATACAGACATTGTAGGAGTATGTATATAAAACACTTGAACTTGTTCGCATATAGAATAAAAGCAAATGCTAATTCTTATCTCAATTACAGAAATATTTTACCCAAATGTTAAGATTTATGTTATCTTATGATGTAACAATTTCCCATTTTATTTTATTTTTTTTAGATAATTTTAAAACAAACCTATTTAATAAACCTTACATGATGCATATTCATTTGTATTATAAAGCGTAATCATCAGCTCTATTTATTAAGTATTAATAATAATAAGATTCTAATAAGCGCGTTGATTCAGAATACATAAAGTTTATGGTCTAAATTGCATAAAGGTAACCCGATTATTATACAATTAAACAATACAGTTTATGTATTTTAAATAAATATACTCATTATTAATCATTTTAAGTAAGTATAATTTATTGATTATTAAAAAAACGGACAATTATGCATTTTGAATAAATAAGCTATATCAAACTAATGGATTTGTATTATGGAAGGTTTGTTTGATAGATTTGTGATAAAATGTCCTCAAAAAAAAAAAAAAAAGGAAAGGGAAAATGACATAAATCTAAAAATTTGGGTGAAATGTTTCAGTGAGAGTCATGCGTACTTGTAAAATGGAGGGAAATTATAGCACAGGCCTAAATGACAAAGGTGGAGAAGGTCTGTGTACTTTACTCCGAACACAGAATCTTTGGCAAGACTAAAAAACGGTTGTTCATGTTTAAAATAAACAAAACATCTCAGATTTAGTTGAGTAAAGCTGCAACAGTTGGCAGTCTAATGGGGTCTTAGTAAAACACTGTCATCAGGGGCTGGAATATAAATGTATGCCACCTTTTCAGATTTTTATTTGATAAAATCTTTTTAACACTATGCATCATTTTTCCCTCCACTCCCATAAAATATATAATAAGATCTCAACATAAAAAAAACAACATTAATTTTTTGATTTGAGNAACAAAATGCTCCTTTTCTCTTTAAACAATGAATTCCTCTCATCAGTACTGATGCTCATATCAAAAAAAAAAAAAAAAAAAAAGGAAAGGAATTTATGTCTTAAAATGACATAAATCTAAAAATTTGGGTGAAATATTTCAGTGAGTGTCATGCATACTTGTAAAATGGAGGGACATTATCGCACAGGCCTAAATGACAAAGGCGGAGAAGGTCTGTGTACTTTACTCTGAACACAGAATCTTTCGCAAGACTGAAAAACGGATGTTCATGTTCAAAATAAACAAAACATCTTGCAGTTAAAAGGGGGCTTAGGTAAATACTGTCTTCAGGGGCTGGAATAAAAATGTACGCCACCTTTTCAGATTTGTATTTGATAAAAACTTTTTAACACTATGCATCATTTTTCCCTCCACTCCCATAAAATATATAATAAGATCACAACATAAAATGACAATTCTTTAATTCAGCTTTAAAAAACATCAGGAAGTGTAAATGTCTTCATGATTAAATTCTGCTTTCTTTTATTCCAAGACAAACAAAGTGGATTGCACACCTGTAGCTGTAGGTTTGTGTGCGTAAGCTCCTCTGCCTTCTTCTCCAGTGATGAAACCCACAGTTTCCTCTTCTGTCGGCAGCGGGTCGCTGCAGCCCGGTTACGCTCCAGAAACTTTTGCCTGCGCTCATCTGGGTCCTGTTCTGCCGTTCTTCTACGACGACTGCTGCTTCCTCCAGCTCCTCCTCCGCTACTGCCCCCACTGCTGCTGCCGCTGCAGCTTGGCTGCGCTGCATGCTGAGAGTGAGATGGCTGCATCTGTTGTGCAACTGGTGATAACTGGATAAAAAAGAAAAAATGCAGACACTTAGTTCAACTTGAAAGCAAAATTAAAGCGCATATGGAGACGTTTTCCACGTTAAACACCTGTGGTGGGGCAGATAGTGGGGGTGCGGGTGGGGAGTTCTGCTGCAGGCGTGATGGAGGGGATTGATGAGCATGAGAGAGCGCTGTGTTCCCTGACTGGTGAAGCTGAAGGCTTTGAGTGCTTCCCAGGTGTTGTGGAGGTGGAGCATGACATCTCTGTTGGTAGATGTGGGGTGGAGCTGAAATCTGTGGCGGCTGACTTGGATGATTATGATGGTGGTGATTAGGGTGGTGGGGATGATGAGGATGGGGATGTTGCTGTTGAAGTGAAGGGGCATGGTGACGCTGTGGCATCATCTCCATCATGTGACCCATGGATGTCACAGAGTTGTTGATAGCGAGCATTCCTGGGTGTTGATGTTGGTAATGATGCCCCATTGTCAGCTTGGGTCTCTAAACGTAGAAAGACAATGAGTCAAATAAAAGGCCACCCACTTTGGGTCAAAGAAACATCTTCAAATCTTCTGTTTTTGCTTTTTTTTTTTGTTTTTTTTCTATCTTGCCATTTACGTTCATAATAAATTTTAAGTGCTTAATGCAGTGCTCCTAAGAGAGAAATTATTTTATAGCTGAAATAATGAGGGAAAGGGTTGCTCCATTGTTTGAGTCACAGCATTTGGCATGCCAAGGTGACAATTTCATTGACGCAGACAAGGTTATTGCATAGCATATGAGGTCAAGTCATAGGTCATCTGCTTAGCGCTTTCATGAGTTCCATATCAGGATCAATGACAGACATTATTTACCTAAGGGAGATTATTTACCTTTATTCCTACAGCGTTGAAAGGCTAGACAGACATACATTAGTGTGCTGCAGGAGTTAGAATTTAGCATTACTTTAACAGATCAGGATTTCTCTAACGGATTGTTTTTTTTTTTATCTTTAATTAAAAGTCATATATGTCATCCTCTTAAGTTGCTGTGGTAATAACAAATTTATTAAACTTGCTGAAACGAGTGTTTATCTGAAATCTTTATAAACCCTGATATATTTGGTAAGTATTTCACCTACATTTTGGTCATTTGTGGACCTGAAATTCCCTTATAAGTACCATAGGTAAAGTTGTGCTTTAAAGTTCACATACCCTTCTATTAAAGGCAGAAAACAATCAGCTGTCAGTCAAATAAATAGAAATTGACAAAAGAATTAATGTCTATATGTACACATGTCTATATATATGTATATTAATAAATAAAAAAAGTAAACAAGCCTCATGGAGCAACTGAACTTAAATTTTTTGGAGCAGCACTTTGATTCAAGGTGTTTTCTGTTCAGAAAATGTTCAGTCCGATTTCTGCAGGTATGTTGGGTTACTGTTCATCAACAAGGTACATTAATTAGCCTGGGACAGGTTTTTTTTTTTTTTTTTTTTAGAATTTCTTTTAAACAGAAATTCATAATACATATTTAGTTTAATTAATTATTATTTACTACATTTGAGTTTTGTATTACTTTTTCAGTTTTTTTGTTATTTGAATTACTAGTGTGAATTGATCATTTTCTTTAATGAGAAGTTATGTAGGCTTTCAAGCACAACTGTATATGCTGTAAATTTTACGCACACAGAAAAGCTTTAAAATGTTGCTATGATGGAAGAGCACTACCAAAAAAAACGTGCAACACCTTGTCTTCAAGGATGTTCCCCATGTTTCTGCCCCTTCACGTTTTATATTTATATAATGGATAACAGCACGTCTGAATTTAATAATTATAAATTCAATTGTTAGTCTGATAATGCGGCTCCACAGTCTTGTGCCAGCACATATTTTGGCTAAATGGCTTAAAACTCCTCAACTCCTCCTTGGTTACTTCTAAGCCTTTCCACAATGGCTTCCTTCTGTGTACTATAATAAGATAATTTCAACAGGGATATGTCTGTGAATGGCTCCTTATGGAATAGAGATTCAAACCAAGGAAGCAAACACCTCCAAATTGTGGATTAAGCACAAAGGCTGGAGATTTTTGTTGCTTCCTTTTGCAAATATTCAGTAAAACTCAGCGTCATGATTACTTTCACGTTAAGAAACAATTGTTCCATACTGAGCGTAGTTCTGAGAGGCTTGGTGACCATTGAGACTGTTGGGTATTCTTGATCTAGAGCGAAGGTGGGGGTACCTACTAACACTGTGTGTAATGGAGCCTAGGCGGAAGTTCAACTGAAGAAACTATTTGCTCTCCTACATCACCTGCGACTCAATTAATCAGCTTTGAACCTTGAACCTCCACTAAAGCCAATCAGCATTCAAGTCCATCTTTAAAGGACTCCGATCTGCTGGTCTGCTTCTAAGTGAGCAGGTGGCGGATGTGCTGTCTGACTTCATTTGGATGACCCGTTTCGCCCCACCTCTAGCAACCTCCTCCACCATAGTAGCTAAAACTTCATCAGAGTGTCATTCCTCCTGGACTCTTACTGTGTTCCCTGTCTCATCTCAACCGGTCCGGCAGAAGACCGCCATGTTCAGCCTGGTTCTGCCAGAGGTTTCTTCCCAACAGGGAATTTTTCCTCTCCACTGTTGCTTCATGCTTTCTCATCATGGACTCTGAACCTGTGTTATCCAACTGGACTTCCATCTTCCAGGTCCCTGAGTGAAGCTCTAGTATCAGCTCACGCAGTCCACTGGATCTCCCCATAAAGCTCAGCAGACCGTCTCTCTAACCAGCAGTCTACAGACTGACCAACTTCATCTATCTCCACTCCACCACCAGTTTCAGGCGTAGGGGGAAAAAGCCCAATTCTTTACTCCTGTTAATCCATATCGATAAAAATTAAGCACTATGTTTCCTGCTGAGGTCTGAGCGCCAAAGAATAATTGTGTCAATAAATTTCTTCTAATTGTGTTTTCTCTTCGTGTGAGTTTTTCAGATTGAATTAGAGATTAGATGAACACTAAATAGATTTTTTTCATCCCTAAACAATATCCCTTTGAAGTGTCTAAAAAAAAACTTAATGGACAACTAACTCCCACGTTGTTGTTATTTTAATAATAATAAATAAAAATCCCTTTATTTTCCCACAATGGGGAAATTTACTCTCTGGATCTTAACCATCCCCTTGGGGAGCAGTGGGCTGCCATTGTGTGGCATCCGGAGAGCAGTCTGGGGTTAAAGGTCTTACTCAAGGACTCAGATTTGCCGTTTTTTTTATATATAAACTGTATATACGGATGTCTTGTAGTTCTGTATAAATGTCCCATCCATTTATTGTATAATTGTTGCAACCTAGCTCTGGCTTGAACATGCCTCCGTTGGAATAGTGAACTTTGTGATCTTTCTATGGATTAGCACTTCCTCCTTAAGGAACGGGGTGAGTCGTCCTTTAAGGTAAAACAATAACATGCTCCTGTCCATAATTGGAATTTCTTCGATCTTCAACAGCGTTGACAACTGTTGATAGCAAGGATAATGTGTTCCCATACAAATGCTACCATCTGCAGCTTGATCCCTTCACACTTTATTATTCCCCTGTATCATCTGACTGAAGCGACTGTAGGGAGTTAAATTAAACCTCATCTCACCTTTCTCCCACACTCAGCGAGATAGGGAGAGGTCGTGTTTGGAGCATGACATCACCTCCCTCCCAACTCTCCATGCCCGGCAATATTACTATCTGCTTGCTGTTACACAATATTTCTTTAAGAGAAGAGGCAGCTTCTCTCTCTCTCACTCTCTCTCCACCATTTAGAAACACAAAAAAAAACATTAAGCCGATGCCAAGGATGAGGTCATCGCCATGTCTGCGCCAACTTTGCCAGGCCGCCAGTCAAACAAACACGCACACACGTAGCAGGATGGGGCATGAGTATTTCAGCTCTGTTTACTACATACAAACACCATGACGCTGGGGCCGCTGATTACATCATGGGTCTTCTCGGCCTCGATGACACACCACTTTGATATTTCAATAAAGAGGGATCAGTGAATGAAGACATAAAACTGTATGTGAAACACTGATCCACTTGTCAAATGTTTGTTTTTCCAATTGAGCTGAGTGCAGCGTTTCTGTACAACAGAGGCATGTTAATGCACCTCCCGTGGTTTTTAAAGGAGCAGCCTCCCGTTTCACACCTTGGTAAGAATACCACCTGATAACACTTGATTATAACTAAAATACAGCGCTGAAGGTTCGGAGACATAACCTGACGGTGTGACAGGATGTATTTATATGCATGAGAGGCAATATGATGTAATTTGGCCCAATGTAACATGTGGAGGTTTTCCTTCGAAGTTGGCTTTGAAATTACAATTTAAAAAGCCTTGCAACCCCTTTAACTTAAAGTTGATTAAAAATATAAAAAAATGTATGCTCTTAATCCTATCTAACTGAACCTGAACTTTTTTACAAAGAAGAACAGTTGAGATTTTTGGTCTCTGGTTTGGCAGAGCTACTGGAAACATAGTCTATAAGACTTTGCAAGTAAATATAAAGCATTTAGAATGAAGGTCATCTACTTATGTGTGTTATTCCTGACAAATACAGAGAAAAGTTTCTGTTTCCCAATGGGTCTTTTTAGAAAATCTTTACATACAACTGTACTGCCAACATGTTAAAAATCAGAAATGGAAAGAGGCCCAATGAAGAATAATGGAACGGAGAAGCTTAAAATGCGTGACTTGGATATAAAGTCACTTTATTCTCAATACTGATTAGAAATGAAAGTGATATAAAAGAAGCAGGAAACCAAACAGAGTTTCTTTATACTCTCTGAAATTTGAACCTATGCACGCTACCTATGCATACAAATAGCAATCATACGGTGTGTGACTGGGCTACAAAAATAAATTCAGGAGCCTCTGAATGTTCAGTAGCCGACATCTGATATCTACTGTAGTCATAATAGGTTAGAACTAGACTAAGTTAGTGTTTTTTTATACACAAACTGGAAGTTAGCTCAAATGTTAGATAACTGAAACAGCCTTTATCTGCACAAACAAACTGCACCACAAGTTAGGATAATCAGCTTCATTTATTGTTGTATGTAAATTAACTGTGAGTCCATTTTAGACAACACACTTTCAACAAGCCTACAAGAAGCTGAGAAAGGCTATAAACATCTAATGAAAGCAGGCAGATGTAGTAGTATTCATGGACTGCAGGCATGTCTGGTTTCTAAGAATTATAAAACTTTTATTTGTTTACTGACTTGCAAACACCACTAATTCCTAGATCTGATTGAGTTTCATTATACAATGCACGATGAGCTGCGATGCGGGGTATGTTGTTATTTACAGCACGACCAATGAATGGTCTGTGGTCCATCATAAAAGATAGTTTCATATCATTTGTATGTATTTATATTTAAATTGTTTGTACATTTAGAGCAAATTTCTTGTTTAAGCTCTAAAACTTGGCCAATCAAGCGAAATCTGATTCTATATATCTGATCCAGTCTTATCTTTTATTTTCTAATTTTTTTTTTATCATTAAACCACGGGCTAGAGTAAGTACAAAGCTATATTTTCAGTATGTTAAACCTCCAATCTATTTCTACTGAAGTGCATTAAAGCGTATTAGCTAAGAAGTTGTTGTGTGCTAGAGTCAAAAACATTTTTTGGTACCTGAGGGGAACAACAGGAGGGACTCTGACCAGGAGCTGCTATACCCATTGCACAGGACATCTGCTTTTGTATCTGCTTGAATAAAAAGATTGACACAAATAATTTTTTTTAGTGATAAGAAAACACAAGAGCATCTAAAAAAAGGGTCAAATAAACGGATTTCTTCATTTGTACCATTCTTCTGATGTTCGATATGTTTAATTTGTGCAATCTAAGTGTCAAATATTTTAAAGTCAGCAGTAAATATTAATAATTTTGGAAGCAGGATCTGCTTATGCAAGAAGTCTCCCTACTAATCATAAATATGAACTCACGCATGAGTGGAAGTGCGTTATCTTGAGCATGAGAACACTGCCTCCAGTACTTACAGTCATGTGCTGAGCAGATGCCCCTTGCATGGCCGGGTCTGGGAGGGTTCCAGGTAAGGAGGCTGGCAGGGGTTGCCTGTGTCTGTTCCGCATGTGAAGGAGGCAGGACAGTGCCCCTGCAGCCGGCCTGTGGTGGGTCGCAGAGAAAGAAAAACAGGTCAGTCTAGGCAGCTTTCTTCAGCTAGAGTTTCATCTTCTCTGGTTCAGAGGGAGGTGCAAGTTGAGACATATAGGCCATATCTTTATTGGTAAAATATATTAGCATGATGTGATAAAATAGGATTAAAATAGATTCAATCTTTAAAAGCCAGACTGATAAAAACCAACAGCAGAGTTATGAAAAAAGAAAAACAGGCGTCAAGTTATCAATGGTAAGTCTGGGATGCAAAATAGTTTTCTCTTGAAAACATTTTTTTAATTGTTGGAAAACAAAATCAGCAACAGTAAAATGAGCCAATATTCTAAAAAACTTTGTCTAATTTCTTTCCAAAAACCATCATAATTCAAACTCGTTTTACTAGAATTTTAGAAAAGATCATTTTAAACCATATCAGCCATTGTTTTTATGAAAGAGGATATTGAAAAAAAAAAAAGCTACTCAATAAAAAAAGACTATTGATTTTTGACTTTAATCTCAAAATATGACTTTATTCTTAGAATTCTGACTTTAATCTGAGAATTCTTCTTCTATAATAATAATAATCCTTAGCTTTGGTGATGTCATGTTAAGTAATTTAACTTTAAATTCTGAGAATACAGGTCAGAATTGAGAAAAAAGTCAGATTCTGAGATAAAAGTTAAAATTAGAATTCTGAGAATCAAGTCAGAAATCAGTAGCCTTTTATTTGCGTGGTTGTTTTTATTTTTCAATGGCTGCCGAACTGTTTCTGTTTGATTTTAATCACTAAACTTTTTTAACCTATCAAGTCAAAGTTCCAACTTCATTGACTTTCAGTTTTTTTTTTTCGTACTTGGATATTGGAAATTCTGACCTCAGAGTAGAGACTGATTGCAACAACATCGGATACATTTAAGGATTGGATATGTTGATTTTATATTAGTGTAGGGCAGTGTTTTTCAATCATTCTTTATTTTACATCTATTCTTTATTTGAAATAATTTCCATAGTACAACTATTATTTGATTCAGCTGAAAAATTACATTATTATATGAGCAGATTAATCCCCCTTTTTAATTTTTGTTCTAATTTCTATAAACTCCAGGATTTTATTGTGTCAGTGAAATGTAATTTAATTCTGACATGTGCCACCTGGTCTTTGGTTTTATTCCATTCCATTTCATTCCATTATATTCTATTTTTTTACATTCCATTCTACTATTTCCCATTTCATTCCATTCTATTGTTTTCCATTCTATTCCATTCTATTCTATTCCATTCTACTTCATACCATTTCATTTAATTCCATTCTATTCTTTTTTCATTCCTTTCCATTCCATTCTATTCCATTTTATTCTATTCTACTTTATTGTTTTCCAATCAGTTCCAATCCATTCTTTTCCATTCCATCCCATTCTATTCTATTTAATTCCATTCCAAGCTATTCTACTCCTTTCTGTTTTACTCTATTCTTTTCCATTCTATTTCACACAATTTTATTCAATTTTATAACATTCTATTCTATTAAATTCCCTGTAGTGCAAATTCTAAACTCAAAGTTCGCTTTTGATCATTTTAAGCACTTTTTATTCCCAGACAGCTTCATTAAACAAACATTATCATTCTATGAGTAATTCTGTGAGCCTGCAAACATAATAAGCATCTAAAAACAAAACATGTTGGAGACCATAGAGGAATGGAAAGAATTTACTAGGGTTCATTCAACCACCAACTAAATGTCCTCCAATGGGCTAAACGACTGCTATCAAATAAGACATTTGTAAATAAGGATTAAAAAAAGGGATTGTAAGAAGAAAAACACTGAAGAATAATAGCATGATAAAAATCTGACAGCTTAAAAGGTAGGATAAAGGCACAGGGAAGCAGAGCCATGGGTGCCATGTGCTGCTGACCTAACCCTTCTGGCTGTAGGCCAGTCGGGTAGCGTGGGCCTCCGTGACTTCCCTGATGTCATCAGCTATGATGTCATTACTGAATCAGGGAATTTATGTCTCCTTTAGCATAAAAAAGTACAGTCAAACCTAAACAGCGCCTCCTAATGTGACCAAAACGGCTTTACAGGGCCTGTCGCCAGACATTCACAAACCAGGACGCCATGGTAACGTCTCATAAACACCACTGGAAACAGTCTTACAGTACAGGTTTCATTCAGTAGCACTTTGTTGGTTTCACTGACTAATGCCATGTCTGGATTGAGCTGGCACTGATTTACTGCCTGGTAACAGACTGTCAGCTCCTGCCATGGCCTGCCTGAGCCGGGGCAGATGTTAGGAGCTCATTCTACTGACTCAGCTAATCATCAACAGGGATGTTACGGACCTTTTGTTTATCCACCTCGACTGATCTAATCCAAAATTATATATAGGACAGAAGATATATAGTAAGAACAGTTAAATGTGAAAGTTGAATTCAGGATGTGTGTCCTCCTGCAAGCTGTTGTTAGTTTTCTTTTCTATTCTCTAACTGAGGACTTAAATATAAGCAATAAATACAAATATATAGAAAATATTTAATTAGAAATGCTAAAATGCTGACTATTCTGACAAACTAAAGAAATTTCAGGTTTACATAATACATAATGATCAAATCTTTTTAATAAGGTTTGGGATTGTTACTGCTAGGTTTAAAAAGCATAATGAATTCTGTAATCTGAGATGAATAATAAAAAAAAAACACTTGCTTATTTGGAGGTGGTAAGGTTTATTGCTTGTTTTATTTTACTTTTTATTTAGGCAACATAATTATCACCTTAGGCTCCCTTTCAGAGATAAATCTCCATCATGCAAGGCTGTCAACTATTTTATATATATATAGTTATTTATATACAGTTTCAAAAATCCAGAGCCAAACTGAGGAGAAGTGGGAACAGTTGTTGGGAGCTGGTCGGATGAAAGACAGGAACTCCTCTAATCTGTCAGTTAAACAGGGTGATAACCAGGGAGCCATGGAAGCTGCCCAGGCGCTGAGAGACTCCAGTCTGGTTCTGAGTTTTTACAGACACAATAGAGGCGGTAGTCTGGCGGTGGGGCGGGTAGAGTCAACAGGACTGAGTGGGTGTTATGCAGCGGTTCTCCATCTGCACTTTGTTCCCCCAGTAAATGAATGTTTGATCTTTTTCCTCCTTTGCTGTCACTTCATTAATGAGGTAATGAATTATGCAGAGGAAAATGCCAGTCGGTGCCTGACAGAGTGAGTTATAATATATCCAAAACAGAGACAGGAAAGACAGAGAAGAGAAGATTTATTTTTGATGAAATGCAAATATTCTTTGCAACAGTGCAGTAGAGCCTTGGAAAGGAATTTGGATATCTTCCATTTTCACAAAATTTATTTTGTTGTTGATTTTGGAGGCATTTCTTTGAGAAGATTTGTCCTTCCATCCATCCATCCATTCATCCATCCACCCATCCGTTCATCCGTCCATCCGTCCGTTCATCCGTCCATCCGTCCGTCCGTCCATCCATCCATCCATCCATCCATCCGTATACCGTCCATCCATCCATCCATCCATCCGTCCGTCCGTCCGTCCGTCCGTCCGTCCGTCCGTCCGTCCATCCATCCATCTGTATACCGTCCATCCATCCATCCATCCGTCCGTCCGTCCGTCCATCCATCCATCCATCCATCCATCCATCCATCCATCCATCCATCCATC